TGCAGCTGCTTGGATCTTGGGGACCCTGGTGGTACCAAGTCTGTATCCTGGGGACCCTGAAGGTGCCAAGTCTCTTTGTATCTTGGGGACCCTGGCAGTGCCAAGTGTGCACCAACCGTCTTAGCCGCAGGAGCTGTAACCCTATCAGAGTCTTCTAGGCTCTGGCAGCTGGCAATCAGAGGTCCTCTTTGACTGGTCCTTCTCTGCTGCTTGGTGCATCAGGTGCTTAAAGGGACAGCCTCTCTGGGGTCTTCATTGTTCAGTTACTGGTGCTGGTATGTGGGGAGAGAGAGGCTACAGTAATGGTTCCACCCACTGCACTTGACTCAGCAGTGTTGCCCTGCCTCCAGTGGCTACCTAGTTTTCCTCCACAGACATTTTCCATGTGATCTCCCCCCTCACACCCCCTCGGGCTGTCTCCACACAATCAGTAGCAGACCTTTCCCTGGGACTGCTCTCTAATCCCTACATGTCAGCTCCCAGCCACTATGCTTTTTAGGGGAACTGCATCCTTGTCTGGGGTACATATGGCTGTGGCAAGGACTCTCTGTGTGATTCTTATTCCATTCAGACTGCCACAGATCAGCTGCTTCACTCTCAGCCTCGGATGCTTTTCCTCTGTCCTGGACAGTTGCCCCGATGTGAGGATCTGACCCCTGTTTCAGTTCCCCCACCCTCCAGGTGCAGGTCCAGTCCTGCTCACTCTCCTCTTCTCCCTCTGCTTCCTTCATCCTAGTGAATTTTGCATGCTCTATATATTCTTTTCCAGTGGTCAGGTACTGCTGCCTGCTCTCTGCTGGTGTTCTGCAAGATCTTTTGTCTCTGAAGGTGTATTCTTGATGTATCTGTGGAGAGAGATATACTCCACGTCTGCCTACTCCTCCACCATCTTATTCTCCCTTGCTGCTTCCTTCTGCAGGGAATCTCCTCAGCCCTGGGATTGAACCTGTGTCTCCTGCATTGGCAAACAGATTCTTTACCACTGAGCCACCAGGGAAGCCCCTGGCAATTGTATTGGGTTGGTCAAAAAGTTTCTTTGGGTTTTTCCATAACATCGTACCGAAAACCCTAAGTGAAATTTTTGGCCAAGCCAATGTATTCTCCTGACAGATCAGCTGTTGTCCATCTTGTTTTCCTATAGTCCTCTCCATTTCTGGTATATTTCATGGCATTGTGGATTTGTTTTGCTGTTCTTTAAAGTTTAAATCCCATTTTTAACCACTCATGGTTTAATTTAACTTGGTAATCCCCTGAACCCTTGTGGTAGGCTGAACAGTGCTCCCCTCAAAGATGTTCACATCCTCATCCCCAGAACCTGTCAAAGGTACAAAAAAGAATTGCAGGTGTGATTGAGTTAAAGATTTTGAGATAGGGAGATGATCCTGGATTACCTGGGTGAACCCTAAATGTGATCACAAGGATCCTCGTAAGAGGGAAGCTAGAAGATCAAATGAGGAAGTAGGAGATATGATGACGGAAGGGAGAGATCGGTGGGATTCAAGGAAGAAGCTGTGCGCCAAGTAGTGTAGGCAGCCTCGGGAGCTGAAAAGCAGGAGGTTCAGATTTTCCCTTGAAGTTCTAGAATGAACCAGCTCTGCCGACACCTTGACTTCAGCCCGGGCAAAGTAATTTTGGATTTCTGAGCTCCAGATCTGTAAGAGAAAAACATCTTGTTTTGAGTAATTTGTGGTAATTTGTTACAGTGGTGACAGGAAATGAATAATCTTCTACTTGTGAAACCAGTCTCTTGGGTGTAAGGGGAGGGTTAGGACTCAGTATAGATCTGGAATTACTTATTGACCATTCAGGGTGGAGCTGGAAGCACACAAACCTGTCCTACAGAAATAGACCAGGGGAGGAGTACATAAAAGGGCTTGAAGCAAGACCTGGCCCAAGTGTCTTCCAAGGAGCTGAAGAGACAGCCAGCAGGAGAGGTTAATGGGACTTCCAACTCCATCAGGTCCTACGGTGAGTTTGCACAGACAAGGGCCACAAAATGTGGATGGAAGTCTGAGCATTAAATATTTTTAGTATTGGATCCTATCTTGCTTGCATGTGTGTGTGCTTGCTAAGTCTCTTCAGTCGTGTCTGACTCTTTGCGACCTTACAGACCATAGCTTACCAGGCTTCTCTGTCCATGGTGGGAGGGTAACAGGCAGGAAGGCCAGGGGTCTCCAAACAGAGGAAATAGGCTGCAAGTGTCAGACATTTTTCTCTTTCTTAAGCGGCAGGAGGAAACAAACTAGCGATATTTTTTTTCCTTCTCTATACAAATTTAAAAGGAGGTTTCTCTTGAAATACTGTGTTGCCATAATAACACCTGGTTCCACCTGAAGTTAATTATTCTCAAACCTTAAGTCAACCTATGCATTTTTCTCACAGAAATGTTTGTCTTAAGTTGTGTTAATAATATACTATGCATATATACTATGAATATACTCTGTCTTCAAGTTGGTTCCACCTAATGGCTCAGAACCTACTTGACAAACCATTATGTTATACTCAGACATTGTTTCCCTAATCTATGTAAACAAAACTATTTGTATGGTAATCTGCCCTTCTACAAGATTCAAGTCAATCGTTTTATGGCCCGGGATGACTCCTCTGGTGCCAAGATTATCCCAAAATACATCTTATGGATGAGGGGCCTGGTGCCATTCTGAGTTTTAAGACATTCCTTTCTTTCATTAACAAACTGCTAGTGACTATATGGAGAAGGCAATGGCAACCCATTCCAGTACTCTTGCCTGGAAAATCCCATGGACGGAGCATCCTGGTAGGCTGTAGTCGACGGGGTCGCTAAAAGTCGGACACGACTGAGCGACTTCACTTTCCCTTTTCACTTTCATGCATTGGAGAAGGAAATGGCAAATCACTCCAGTGTTCTTGCCTGGAGAACCCAGGGACAGGGGAGCCTAGTGGGCTGCCGTCTATGGGGTCGCACAGAGTTGGACACGACTGACGTGACTTAGCAGCAGCAGCAGTGACTATATAACATCCAGCTGAAGACTAGGAGGGGGGTACTCTTTCTGCCCCCTTCTGATGCCTATGTCAGAAGCTTTCTTTATCTTCTTTATACTTTAATAATACTTTATTACATAAAAGCTCTGAGTGATCAAGCCTCGTCTCTGGCCCTGGATTAAATTCTTCTCCTCCGGAGGCCAAGAATCCCAGCATCTTTTCGTGGTTCAACAACAACGTTTCAGTGGGATTTTCCATGCAAGAATACTGGAGTATGTTGCCATGCCCTCCTTCAGGGGATCTTCCCAACCCAGGGATTGAACCCATAAATCTCATGTCTCCTACATTGGAAGACCGGTTCTTTGCCACTAGCACCAGCCAGGAAGCTCTCTATTTTGCTTATTCCCATATTAATAATGGAGAAGAGAATCTCCACAAGGGTTTTGGTCTGGATGTTTTTTTTTTTTTAATATTTATTTATTTGTCTGATGGGTCTTACTTGCAGCATATGGGAATCTTAATGTGTCATGTGAGATTTTTTTGTTGTGCTCCACAGACTCTCCAGTTGTGGCACGTAGGTTCAGTAGTTACAGCATGTGGATTTAGCTGCTTCCTTGCGTGTGGGATCTTAGTTACCTGATCAGAGATCAAATCTGTGTCCCCTGCATTGCAAGGTGGACTCTTGACCACCGCACTGCCAGGGAAGTCCTAGTCTGGATGTTTCTTGATGTGGGTTACTGGTACCCAGTAAGGAAGAAGGATAGATACAATGGAGGAAAATGCCTGCTGGTAGACGAAAGAGTAGGTGCTGAATTTTAGGAGGACAGATGAGACTGGAGGTTCCCTGTAAGACTGGGGAATTCATCCACCAAAAGGCTGGGAAAGAAATCATGGGCCTCGCTGAATCAGGGCTAGATGTGGTCGAATATTCTGCAAGTAGGTTATTTAGCTTGACAGGTTAGTAACACTTCACTTACATGGGTATAACCAAAAGTCAGAAAGGATATAAACATTTCATGAGTAGTCAAAATGAATATTTCAGTGTTTGCATTCTTTGGTTTTACAACAGCCTCAGTGCTCTTGGTTCAGCTGTCTCCATTCTTCTTGTGCATATAATTCTAAGGAGTGTAATTATCTGATCGCTGACCAACTAGATAAAAAGCTGCAAGAAGCCAGGAAGTGAGGGTACCAAATGGACAATTGAGAAGCAACAGCTGACAGCCTATGTTACAGTTTGTCACTGTTGTTCAGTTGCTAAGTTGTGTCCATGTCATTGCAATCTCATTGATTGTAGACTGCCCAGCTCCTCTGTCCATGGGGTTTTCCAGGCAAGAATACTGGAGTGAGTTGCCATTTCCTTCTCCTGGGGATCTTCCCAGACCAGGGATCGAATCCATGTCTCAAGCATTGGCAGGCAGATTCTTTTACTACTGAGTCACCAGTAGGGAAGCATTAACTATTAAAAAGTGAACATACACATTGGTACCTCCAGATGCTCCAGCCTCCCAGCCTTTCCCCAGCACTTCCAAACCTCTTTATAATCTATCAACTAAAGAGTTAACTTCTAGCAGAGCAGAGTCCTCCAGACCCTGCCTTAGCACCAAGTCTCATCTTTGTATCAATTGGTCTTCTGTTGTTGTTGCTGAATGGCTAAGTTGTGTCCAACTCTTTGCAACCTCATAGACTGCAGCAAGCCAAGCTTCCCTGCCCATTACTATCTCCCAGAGTTTGGTCAAATTCACGTCCATTGAGTCAGTGATGCTATTTAACCATCTCATCCTCTACTGCCCTCTTCTCCTCTTGCCCTCAGTCTTTCCCAGTATCAAGGTCTTTTCCAATGAGTTGGCTCTTCGCATCAGGTGGCCAAAGTATTGAAGCTTCAGCTTCAGCTTCAGCATCAGTCTGTACAATGAATATTTCCTTTAGGATTGACTGGTTTGATCTCCTTGCAGTCCAAGGAACCCTCAAGAGTCTTCTCCAGCACCACAGGTTGAAGACATCAGTTCTTCAGTGCTCAGTCTTCTTTATGGTCCAACTCTCATGTCCATACATGACTACTGGGAAAGCCGTAGCTTTTACTATACTGCCTTCTGTATGTTACATGCCTTCTGTATGTTAATAATTTGACTATTTTACCCATGAACATGGGTGTACATTGCTTTAATAATTGAGAGATGAAATTCCTCTCTTAACATCTAAAATAAGAAATCCAAAAGTGTAACAGTTAGAGTTGTTTCATGTAGGGAGAGGACTCATATAATTATAGGCCCACTGGACATAAATACATTATGATAAAGGATAATAATTTATATTTAAATTAGTGGGTCTTGGTCATTAAGAAAAGTTTAATTGCTTTCAGCTTGACCTACTGCAGACAACAGGCAAGAGCATGGTACACCTTAAAAGTTTTAATCCAAAGTGGACTAAGTGTCTTAGAGGTGCTTATATAGAATTGAACCTTTACTTATTTAGACAACTAACTTGTCGAGAATGATTCAGTCTTCAGGATTCCAGAGCTGGAACTCCTAAATGAAACAGAACAATGGCCTGTCTGTATTACTTACAGCCAAAATGTATGTGTTCTTGTGTAGCCAAATTCGTCTTTCCATGCCAGTCCTGTGCAAACCTGAGCTTTGGCTCCCCTGGGCTGACAGTACTTCCCTGTTTATGTGGGCTGATAGTATTTCCCTCTACACCTGGGCTGATCACCCCTCCCTACTCACCTGGACTGACCGTACCTCCTCGTTCACCTGTGTTGATCACTTCTTTCTGCTCACCTGGGCTGATCACCCATCCCTGCTCACCTGGACTGATCACCCCTGTCTGCCCCCATGGACTGATCACCCCTGTCTGCCCCCATGGACTGATCACCCCTCCCTGCCGCCCTGGCCTGGTCCCCCCTCCCTGCCTCCCTGGCCTGGTCCCCCCTCCCTGCCTCCCTGGCCTGGTCCCCCCTCCCTGCCTCCATGGCCTGGTCCCCGCTCCCTGCCCCCTGGCCTGGTCCCCGCTCCCTGCCCCCTGGCCTGGCGGTGCTTCCCCGCTCATCCGGGCTGACCGCACCTCACTGCCCTCCCTTTTTCTTTGCCTCAGTGGGCCTCCTCCACGCAGCTGTGGTGGCACCAAGGAGAAACAAGTCTCCTTTGTCATTTCTGACATTATGTTGTGATTAAAAATGGCATACTTGTCAACTCATCTCAGACAACCACTCAAATCACAGTATCCAGAAAAACAGGAGTTGCGAATAAGACACATCTTTGATGAGCTGGAGATGTGGTTGGATGAAAGCAGAAAAGGCCAGTTCAGAGTCTAATGTGGCACACTATAAAAATCAAAACAGTGTGCTTTCCAAATACAGGGCGGAAACATGTTCAAGGTCAATGGAAAATTTTAGGGTCAAAGAAGACAGTGAGCTGGAAAGTAGGCAACAAAAGTGACCTTGACCGATTCTATGTGGATTAGGTCACTGGAGTCTTCTACACAGCAGAGGAAGGAGACCCAGAATCCCCATCCCTCTCTAGTAAGGTGCCCTCATTAGCAGATCGGACTTGACTAGTCTGATCGCTTTATTAACTTAATCATTCACCCTAACCACTTATTCGCAGTGTTAGCCAGTTGTACAGGCTAGTAGCTGGCCAAAGAGACAGAGAAACCCCGGCAAAGCTGCAGGTCTGATGGATGGATGCATGTTCTGCAGTAGGGTTCCAGGCGAGGGATGTTAACATTACAGATGCCCAAAAGCAACTGTGCACTTACTTCAAAGATTTTGCGGGGCAATAAAAGCACCAGGGCTCTCTTAGGCATCCCAAAGTGCTGACCACAGGACCACACTTCTCACACACAAATGAGAGATGGAGCGTGGGAGCCATTGGAAGCGGCTGACACTCAGGCCAGACCATGTGGCTCCAGGAACCCTCCTTTCTCTATAGGTCTATTCCCTTCTCCTCTCATTCTCCTTTCTGCCTCCCTCTCTCTGCAGTTTCCCCTGTCTTACACTCTGGCTTACTTGAGTTCCTTCTCACCTCGGCAAAGCTCCTTGGCTTCTCCACATCAGGATCTTCTAGCTCCCTCCGCAATTCTCTAATTCTTTCTGTGATTCTTAAGTAACGAGTTGAGATGGATCAGTTTTTGTTTTCCTGCCAGTTGGGTGTCAGGGCTCCCTGGCATGTCTAAAAGTCCTAAAGGTAGGTGCCCATGTCAGTGTCCTCAGCAGAACTGGGTCTTACAAGGTGACCCTTTATAGCCAGACCTGGGCCCAGCAGGCTGGGATCTAACTTCCTTAGCAAAGACTGGGCAGTGGGTTTCCTATTTCTGAAAACCTGGAAAGCTGTTTCAGTTGGAGATTGAGTTCTGCATTTTCACCTCTGTTCCCTCCCCAACAGGCTAGGTGACAATGATGTCACTTCCTTTCTCCATAAAATGTTAACAACACTGTTTGCCACATACCAGGTGCTACTATGAGTATTACATACAGATTTGTTGTTGTATCCTCAGGAGGAGGTTGCTGTTGTTGAGTTGCTCAGTCATGTATAACTCTTTGCAACCCCATGGAATGCAGCACGCCAGGCTTCCCTGTCCTTCACTATCTCCCAGAGTTTGCTCAAACTCATGGCCATCAAGTCGGTAATGCCATCCAACCATCTCATCCTCTGTTGCTCCCTTTTCCTCCTGCTCTCAATCTTTCCCAGCATCAGGATCTTTTCCAATGAGTCGGCTCTCCACATCAGGTAGCCAGAGTATTGGAGCTTCAACTTCAGCATCAGTCCTTTCAATGAATATTCAGGCTTAATTTCCTTTAGGATTGACTGGTTTGATCTCCTTGCATGAGGAAGTACTATCCTTAAGTCTTATTAAACTGAAGGAATGGAGGCAAAGAACAGTTGAGTACCTTGCTGAAGGTCACACAGCTAGTAAGTGGCAGAGCAGAGTTCTGAACTCTGTTGGCCTGGCCACAGAATCCTTTCTCTCCACCAGAGTTAAATCATGCTACTGTACTGCCATTGCAGCCTCCCCCAGACTCCAGGGAAAAGTAGGCCATGAGATTAAAGAAGCTGCAGAGGCATTAGGTCTGTTCTGCAGAACAGGACGGTCCTTTGTTTCAGGCCAAGAACATTGCTGCCCTTTGCCTGTGTCCTCTCTGAAGGCCATGGGAAGTGCGAGCCTGTCAGCAAGTATAACCTCGAAAATTTCTCTCTCAGCTAATTTCAAGGACTGTTTACCCAAGTGGACACAGGAGGATTAGGCAATTCATTGATCCGGCGTGTTGGATGGGTTTGGGTGTGACCAAGCGCACTGTGGCTGTCAGAGCAAATCCATTCCACAGAGCAACTCAGACACCCACAGCAGCTGGACTAACCCAGGACATGTGTTGGGATGTGGCTCATGAGCTGGGACTCAGCATCCACCAGTGATTCAGGAGTTAGGATGAGGAACTTCCCTGGTGGTCCAGTGGTTAAAACTTTGCCTTCCAACACAGGGGGTGCAGGTTTGATCCCTGGTCTGGGAGCTAAGATCCCATATGCCTTGTGGCCGGAAAACCAAAATATCAAAAAACGGAAGCAATGTTGTAACAAATTCAATAAAGACTTTACACATGGTCCACATTTAAAAAAAAAAAGGCTTAAGAAGAAAAAGAGGATTAGAACAGGACAGCCTGCAGTTGGATCCTTCATTTTATGCTCAAACATGGGGCTTCCCCTGTGGCTCAGCAGATAAAGAATCCACCTGTAATGAAGGAGACAGAAGAGACATGGGTTTGATCCCTGGGTCAGAAAGATCCCCTGGAGGAGGAAGTGGCAATCCACTCCAGTATTCTTACCAGGAGAATCCCATGGACAGAGGAGCCTGGTGGGCTACAGTCCATGGAGTCTCGAAAGAGTCGACACGACTGAGCGACTGAGCACGCATGGGGCCCAGGCCATCTCTCCAGCTGTCCGGCTGAGGGCAGCCCTAAGTCTGAGTGAGTGGCAGGTGTCTACTGCTGAGGCAGGCAGGAAATACCACGCAGCATCCGGCTGGGGCTTTAGGCACTGGTGATGCTCCTCACCGGTTCCCTTCCTGGGCCCCGCTTGCCAGGAGCGAGGTCACAGAAAATGCCATTGTTTTGGAAAAACCTCCCCTCTCTGCAGCCCTCTGCCTGGGGCCATCTGCTTGGCCCGAGGTAGTCGCTTGTCCACAAAGGCTGCGCTGTGTGACCCTCTGAGTGAGTTTTCATAAATCAGACAGCAGACAACCGAACCCTCAGGCCACGTGGACTCGGTGCTTGTGCCAGAGGTGATGGGGCAGGTGCGCATCACCTGGCCGGGGAAGCGGGTGCGAGGGGTGTGCTGTTTTTCAGTGGGCGCAGCAAAGGGTGGATCAGCTGGCCAGACCCGGTAAATTGTTATTTACAGTTTCTGAGCTTTTAAAAGAGGAGCCTCCGCAGCATCGGCCCTGACTCCAGACCTGCCGCAACATGACGCCCCTGGTCACCCTGCTATCCCTGCTCGCGCTGGGAGCCCAGGCCCAGCACGGGGCCGAGTGGACCTACTCAGGTAAGGCCCAGGGGTGGCACCCACTTTTCTAGGGTGAAGCCTGGTCAGTCAGGGGCGACCACGTGCGATGACTGTGTGCGGTGCTGTTGGGTACTCCACATCTTAGGCTGGGGGAGACCTCGGTTACAGAGGGTAGGGCAGAGCTCTTTCCATTTCTGGATCCCTGAATCAACCACAGGGTTTCTGCTTTCCCACTCCTGGTGCTGGCTTGACAACTCACTCAGTGCTTCTGACAGCAAAGCCATTTGCACTCTGTCTGTGTAGATAAAAAATAAAGCGGTTATATGGAGTGAAGTAAGTCAGAAAGAGAAAGACAAATACTGTATATTAACGCATGTGTATGGCATCTAGAAAGATGGTACATGAACCTATTTGTAGGACAGCAAGGGGGATTCCCTGGTGGTTCAGATGGCAAAGAATCTGCCTGCAATGCAGGAGACCCAGGTTTAGTCCCTGGGTTGGGAAGATCCCCCAGAGAAAGAAATGGCTGCCCACTCCAGTATTCTTGCCTGGAGGATTCCATGGACAGAGGGGCCTGGCTGTCTATAGTCCATGGGGTCACAAAGAGTCAGACACAACTGAGCGACTATCACTTTCACTTCAGTAGAGATGGAGGCATAGAGAACAGATTTGTGGACACAGGAAGGGGAAGAAGAGGGTGGGATGAATTGAGAGAATAGCATGGAAACAAACACAATACCATAGGTAAAATACATTGCCAGTGGGAATTTCTGTGTGACTCAGGAAGCTCAGTCCAGTGCTCTGTGACAACCTAGAGGGGTGGGATAGCGAGTGATGGGAGGGCGGTTTAGGAAGGAGGTAACATATGAATGCATGTGTACTAAGTCACTTCAATCATGTCTGATTCATGGACTGTAGCCCACCAGGCTCCTCTGTTCATGGGATTCTCCAGGCAGGAATATTGGAGTGGACAGCCAGGCCCTCCTTCAGGGGATCTTCCCAACCCAGGAGTCAAACCTCTGTCTTTTATATCTCCTGCATTAGCAGGCAGGTTCTTTACTACTAGCATCACCTGAGAAGCCCAGACATATGTATATCTATGGCTGATTCATGTTGATGTATGGCAGAAACCAACGCAGTATTGTAAAGCAATTATCCTCCAATAGAAAAAAAAAAAAAAGTGGTTGAAGGGAGCTCCCTGCAGTCCCACTGAGAATGTGTGGGATTTTCAAGAACTTTCTTATTGGAAATTCCATGATACACAGTTTATCTAGAACATCTCAATGTGCCGAGAACCCAGTGACCACTACACGGCCTCCAGGCTGGCCTCTCTCCATTGCCTAGCCCTGCTGAGGCCCCAGACTCACACCTTGAACTCCACTTACAGGACATGAAGTGGAAAAAAAAAACTCTGATATTTACCACAGGTCCTGGCCCACATGTGAGCCAAAGAGAGGAAGATTGTGGGGTTCAGATAAGAAACACTTCTTCTGTGTGGCAGGAGCAAAAGCACCTGCCTGGTCCTCCTCCTTCATGTCCTGGAGGGAGGCATGGGGCCCAAGAGGATGCCCAGGGCTGCTGGAGTCAGGAGCAAGCAGGTTTTGAACCTGCTCTCTGCACAGTCCACCCTGGCCTCAGATACTCAGGGGAGTGTCCACTGAGTGTGGATGTGTGTCCTGTTAAGTCAAGGGCAGCAGAGTTAGGGACATCATGGGAAGGTTCAAGAAGTCTGGCAGCACAGGGCAGGACAGCCAACTGACCAGTCATTCTGTCTGACCCAGAGGATCCCTCCCTGGCTCAGCACCATGAGACCCCAGGGTTTCTGCTTGGGCAGGCCCATAGATGCTGAGGGTGACTATAGTGTAAAGACAAGTGAGGATTCCCACAGTGCAGACTGTCCCTCTCAGCTCAGCATAGCCTGAGACTGTGGCCTTCTGGAAGCACAAGGAGTCCAGGAAAGCTACCGCAAATACCTCTTGTAAACACTTGAGAAACCCCCATGCTGGCAAAAAGCCTTTTGGCCCGTGAAGGGGCTGTGCTCAAGATGTCTGGCCTTGGGACTTCCCTGGGGTCCAGTGGTTAAGATTCTGCACTTCTAATGCAGAGAGTCTGGGTTCGATCCCTGGTCCCAGACCTTAGATCCTGCATGCCACGCAGTGGAGCAAAAAACAATTCTGACTTTGATGCTTGCATCTGCCTCTAGGAAAGACTTGCCTACAATTTGGTGTGTATTATTGAATAATGAGGAGAGGAGGAGAAATAAAGAATTGACTTTTTATTGAATCAGGAAACTGTAAAAGGCCCGGATATGATCATCTTTCTCAAAATAACCTGTGGATGACACAGCTGCCCACTGAGGGGGAAAGAGAGCTGGAGTCCCTGTTGCAAACGGGTGAGACCAGACTCCACAACTGTTTGAAGGCTGAATCACCCATTACGAAGACTTGCTTTTGTTTTTTGTTTTTTGTTTAATTTTTTGGCTGTGCCACACAGCATGTGGGATCTCAATTCCCAGTCCAGGTATCTAACTGTGGAAGTGCACAGTCGTAACCACTAGACTGTCAGGGAATTCCTATGATGACTTGCTTTTATCACTCTTTTCTATGATTAATAACTACCTTTAAAAAGATAAATTTCCTTTCTTTGACATTTTTTCAGCTAATTATTCTAGGTCATCCTTGAACCTGATGCTTCCTTTCTTGACTTCAATCCACAGTGTAGGCACCCAGGTGGTCTTTACAATACTGGGAACCAGTGAAGAGGGATTGGGAAAGAAAAGAGGTGGGAAGGTCCTGCCGTAGGGTGTGGATGGGGCTTTCATAGTGTTGAGGGCTGGAAAAGGGAACTGCCACTCAGAAGAAGTGAGGAAAGGCCCTTAAAAGTAACACAGGAAGGCCAAGGCCAAGGCCAAGGAGCCCTCAGAACCATTTATCAGCTGTGTGCTGTGCCAAGTTCCCTTAGTCATGTCCGACTCTTTGTGACCCCATGAACTGCAGCCCGCAGGCTCCTCTGTCCATGGAATTCTCCAGGCAAGAATACTGGAGTGGGTTGCCATGCCCTCCTTCAGGGAATCTTCCCAACCCAGGGGTCGAACCTCTGTCTCTTATATCTCCTGCGTTGGCGGGCGGGTTCTTTACCACTAGCACTGTAGCCAGATCCCATATTCATCAGCTGACAGTCACTGAAAGGAAAAACCAAAGCTTGATCTTAAAGATAGCCATTGCTTTCAAAATAGTAAGTCATGTTCTCAGGGCCAGTGGTTGCAACAGAAAAGTTAGGAACCAGCCCCGAAGCCCCCCAGGGTCTGTGAAGCTGATTTACGTGCCCTTCCCGCCTTCTTGGGCTTCCCAGATGGTTCAGTGGTGAGGAATCCGCCTGCCAATGCAGGAGATGCGGGTTCGATCCCTCAGTCAGGAAGATCCCCTGGAGAAGGAAATGGCAACCCACTCCAGTATTCTTGCCTGGGTAATCCCAGGGACAGAGGAGCCTGGCAGGCTACAGTCCATGGGGTCACAAAAAGTTGGACAACTGAACAACTAAACAACAATAACAACCCACCTCCTGGAGGCCCTGCCCTGCTTTCTAGAAGGCAGACCTCCAGCCTTGGTCTCAGCCTCTGCCGGCCTCCCTGGCCAGGCCCTGCTGTGAGCTACCGGCTCTGGCCTCTATACTGAGTGAGGTGCCCACAGAGAGGGCCCGGCTGGGCAGCACCTCTCACTGTGATCCCCTTGGCTCTCTCCCATGTCAGAGGGGGCGCTGGACGAAGCACACTGGCCTCTGGAGTACCCGGACTGTGGGGGGACGAGACAGTCGCCCATTGACCTGCAGGTGAAGAAAGTTCGGTACAACCCTTCCCTGAGGGCTCTGAACCTCACAGGCTATGGACTCCAGCACGAGGAGTTCCCTATGACCAACAACGGCCACACAGGTAAGGATGGGCGACAGACCAGCTTCTGTCCCTTGGGGGGCAGCCGGGGAAGCGGGCGGTGGGGGAGGCTGGCAGGGCTGCCCAGAGCTAGACATGCCGAGAGGCAGGGTGTGGCCTGGGGGCTGCAGGTGTTGAGTCCTGGCGCTTCATCCCAGATAGCACAGCACCTGTCTGTAGACTCGGTTCCGCACTCACTTCATTCTGCGCTGGCCTCTCTCCAAGCCCACTCTGACCCAACCAGAGGGAAATTCAGCAGACAGAGAGGTGATGCAATGAAGCTGCACGACCCACTGTGTGTTCTGTTGATCTGTGCCCTGGTCTGATTGGCCACATTTTCTGTGTGTAAAGGTCAGATAGGAAAGGCTGGGTGTTGGTGCCCCTCTATTGTTGAAGTCTAGACTGGACACATAAAATCTGGCTATACCTTGGCACACATCTTTCTCATTTTCACCAATTGGGCTCGTCTCCTCTAAGCCTCAAGACAAGCCCAGAGGGAGGTGTTTTTTAGGCTGAAACCAGGGACTTTGAGAATCCAGGGGACTTCTAGTCATAGTCTCTAATGGTCGAGCTGGACCCAGTTCCCAGATGTCTGATTCCTCCACCGTGTCCTCCTTGGAAACATCCCTTTCTACTCCCATTACTGTCCATTTGCATAGGCTTATGGGGTTAGGGTCATAGGACTCAGATTTCTTCTTTGCTCTATTGAGAAAATAAAACCCATTGCTCTTCATGAGGCTGGCGAAGGTAGCAGCCCTCAGATACCTATGATTTGGATCACTGACCTCCACAAATAATTCATGAAAGCATCATTTTATCACAAATGTCAAGATCCTGTTTCCAACATCACTCTCTGAAGCATCTGGGAAGTTGGCAGAAGAGTGGGACCTTTTCAGATTGGCTTCTTTCACCTGTGCTGTGCTGTGCTTTGTCATTCAGTCGTGTCCAACTCTTTAAGACCCCATGGACTGCAGCCCGCCAGGCTCCTCTGTCCATGGGATTCTCCAGGCAAGAACACTGGAGTGGGTTGCCATGCCCTCCTCCAGGGGATCTTCTCAACCCAGGGATCTAATTGGGGTCTCCTGCACTGCAGGCAGATTCTTTGACAGCTGAGTTACCAGGAAAGCCCTTCTTTCACCTAGTCATATGCATTAAAGATTCCTCTATGTCTTTTCACAACTTGATAGCTCCTTTCTTTTTTAGCATTGGATAATATTTCCTTGTCTGGATGCATCTAAGTTCATTTATCCATTCATCAACTTAAGGACATCTTGGCTGCTTCCAAGATTTAGCAATAACAATAAAGCTGCTATAAACATCAATGAACACCAATGTATAGATGTTTGTGTGGACATAAGTTTTCCACTCATTTGGGAAAACAGCAAGGAGTATGATTGCTGGATTGTATGGTAAGAGTATGTTTAGTTTTCTAAGGAACTTCTCATCTCTCTTCCAAAGTGGCTGCAACATGTTGCATTCCCACCAGCAATGCATGAGGGTTCCTCTTGATCCACATCCTTGCCAACATTTGGTGGTGTCAGTGTTCTGGATTTTGGTTATTTTCATAGGTGTGTAGTGGCATCTCATGGTTGGTTTAATTTGTATTTCCTTGATGAACTGTGCTGTGGAACATCTTTTCATATGTTTATTTGCCATCTGTGTATCTTCTTTGGGGAGGTATCTGTGATGGTCTCTGGGTTATTTGTCTTATTGTTGAATTTTAAGGGTTCATTGTATATTTTGGATGGCAGTTCTTTATCAGATGTGTCTTATACAAATATGTCTTCCCAGTCTATAGCTTATTGTCTAATTCTCTTGATGCTCTCTTTTGCAGAAGTTTTAAATTGTAATTGAGCCCAGCTTATCAATTCTTTCTTCATGAGTTGTGTCTTTGGTGTTGTATCTAAAAAGGTACCAAACCCAAAGTTATCTAGATTTTCTCCTATGTTATCTTCTAAGAATTTTATAGTTTTGTACCTTACATTTAGGTCTGTGATCTATTTTGCATTAATTTTGGTGAAGGGTATAAGGTCTTTATCTAGATTCTTTTTCTTTCTTTTTTTTTTTTTGCGTGTGGATGACCCGTTGTTCCAGCACCGTTTGTTGAAGAGACCCTCTTTGCTCCATTGTATCACCTTTGCCATAGGCTTCCCTGGTGGCTCAGTGGTAAAGAATCCACCTGTCAGGTTGGGCCGCTGTGGCAGACTCAAGGCCAGGAGGGCCCCGGTGAGCCCAGAGGCGGCCCAGCCCCAGCCTCTGGGGGAGTCGCCCCCAAGTGAGCCTGACAGAGGGGAGGCCCTGCATGTCACCGCAGACGCTGGAGGACAACCGGCGGATGATCATCATGGAGAAGGGGCCCCTGCCGGGCCCTGCCGCAGGGCTGGAGGCGGCCAGCGGGCAGGGACCGAGCTCTGCAGCCGCCCAGACGGGGACGGACCAGCAGTTGCAGGAGTCTGCAGGGTATCGGCCTAAGGAAGGGAGCCACCGGGCTGAGGGGTGGGAGGAACCAGCGCCCATAGCTGGGCTCACCTTGCTCACTTCACCCCCTTCCCTACCCTCAGAAAGGCCGCCCCGGGAGAGCACCTGCCGTGGACCGGGACTTGCTGGCAACTTGACATAGGCCCATACGAGTCCCTTTCCCCTGTGAGGCCTGTGTGGCCATTTTCCCTGTATATAGTTCTGGTAAGAAGCCAGATATTTAAACTCATCTCTTCCCAGGGAGAGCAAGCCAGCTCAGGCCTCCAGTGTTGCCTGGCCACTGCCAGACCCAGGGCCCACCCTGGGGACACATAGGAAGCTGGCTTGGGGAGGCTTTGCTGTTTAACTGTGCCTTTTCTTAGGATCCAGGCAGGCACGTGGCCCATAATTTATTGCTTTCCATCCTGTGGTATGTTAGTGTTTTCGTGCGCACGTGCGTGTATGTGTGTGTGTGTGTATGTGTGTGGCTTCTGCCCTCCCAGGAAAAATGTCATGGACTCTATTCAGGTACTTTTGTGTGTTGTCTTGCTGGCCCTGTGGTTGTCGCTAATGTACACACATTTCATTATTTGCCAATGGTGTAATAACCATTGCTGACCAACCAAAAAAAAAAAAAAAAAGAATCCACCTGTCAATGCAGGAGATGAAGGTTCGATTCCTGGGTCAGGAAGATCCCCTGGAAAAGGAAATGAAAATCCACTCCAGTATTCTTGCTTGGAAAATTTCATGGACAGAAGAGCTGGGCAGGCTATACAGTTCATGGGGGTCACAAAGAATTGGACACGACTCAGCAAGAAAAGAACAATAACAACATCACCTTTGCTACTTGGTTAAAGATCAGTTGAATATATTTATGGGGGTCTGTTTCTGGGCTTTCTTTTCAGTTCACTGATCTATTTGTGTATTCTTCCACCAAAACCACACTGCATTGATTATTGTAGCTTTTTTTTTTTCCTTCCTGGCCTTGTGGAGAGGCATGTGGGATCTTAGTTCACGACCAGAGGTTGAACCCATGCCCCCTGCAGTGGAAGTGCAGAGTCCTAACCACTGAGCTGCCAGGGAAGTCCCTACTGTAGCTTTTTAGTAAGCCTTTAAAAAAATTATTTATTTATTTGGCTGCACTGGATCTTAGTTACTGCATGTGGGATCTAGTTCCCTGACTAGGGATCAAACCCGGGCCCCTGGATGGGGCATATAGCATCTTAGCCACTGGACCACCAGATGCCCCAACTGTAGCTCTACAATAAGTCTTAAAGTTTGGTATCATTGGTGCTCCAACTTTATTCCCCTTCTTCAACACTGTGTCAGCTATCCTGGTCTTTTGGCTTCTCCATATGAATGTCAGAATTAGTTTGCTGATATCCACAAGACAACCTGTTGGGGTTTTTGTTTATTTGTTTTTTCCTGTTGGTGTTTTGATTGGGACCACACTGAGTCTCTAGGTCATGTTGAGAAGAACTGACATCTGGACAGTGAGTCTTCCTATCCAGGAATATTGACTACCTCTCCGTTTTTTTATTCTGTGACTACTTTCATCAGAATTTTTCAGTTATCCTCATATAGATCTTGTATATAATTCATTAGATTTATACCTAATTATTTAATTGGGAGGGGAGTGCTAATGTAAATGATATTGTGGGGCTTTTGTGGCTTAAAACACAGAATCTTATTTTCTCAGTGTTCTGGAGGGTAGAAGTCCAAGATCAAGTGTTTCAAGGTTAGTTTCTATTTTGAGGCCTTTCTCATTGATTTGTAGATGGTCAATGGGATTGTGTTTTTAATTTCAAATTCTGCTTTATATGTCTATTTTATATTTATATCCTTCCATTTTTATTATTAGATTAGAATACAGATATAAAATTACATTTTATCGAAAACACACTTGGGTATTGAGATGAAGTGCTGCAACAGTTCCTAAAGCTTATTTTCTTCTTTTTAAAAGAGTATTTATTTATTTATTTATTTGACTGCACCAGGTCTTAGTTGCAGCATGCAAGATCTTCAGTTGCGGCTTGTGGGATCTAGTTCCAGACCAGGGATTGAACCCAGGGCCCCCTGCATTGGGAGCATAGGCCACCAGAGAAGTCCTTCTAAACCTTGTTTTCAGTTTCTCTATTTTGTTGTAGATGTGAGCACAGCAAATGCTCAGATCATGTGGATTTTCTGTGTTGATGAGAATCTGGTTAAATCAGTTCCAAACAAAGAGGAGTCAGTTCTGGAAGTTAAATCAATTGTCAGAACCTGGAAGGTTCAGCAAATCGATTTTGGGGAGGATGGGTAGCTGGCCTTACCTTTTCAAAAGCAGAGTGATAAGCCCAGTACTGCTGCCATTTTTCAATCTGTCCTGTGCTATCCTGTTGATACAGCTTGAGAACTGAGACATTCTGTCTGCAGGGGATTGTGTTTCTGGGGAAACACTTATCGGGATCTCTGTTACGGCTCATGTGGTACTAACTGTCCTCAGCTCTGCAGTCTCTGGACACAGAAGACTGAACATCTTCTTTGAAAAACTCTTCCATTTTTCTCATGGGAGCACTGACTTAGAAGCTGGCCACATTTTAAGCACTGAACACAAAACACCTGTTCTGCCAAAGGGCATGTAAAACCTCAGAGGCCCGATTCCTGCCTCCTGGCATATTATGAAGCTGTCATCACAGTTTCCTGCTGCTTCTGGAAGGGAAGAAGGGGGGCATTTGACAGATATCAAATTCCTGATTTTTTTTTGGCTACACTTTGTGATGTGTGGGATCTAATTCCTTGATGAGGGATCCAACCCATGCCTCCTGCATGGGAAGAACAGAGTCTTAACCGCTGGACCACCAGGAAATCCTCAAAGACTTAATATTTGCTTTTTAAGAAAATGTACTTGTTTATAACTATCATTGATGACTTTAAATAGAAAAACCTTATCATCAATGACTAAATAGAAAAACCTTGTTAACAAGACAGATGCCGACTGTCCCTTTCCAAGTCTTAAATTATACTCTCATAGATATTTTTCTTGGTCACTTTTGGGTCACTCTCCATGTCTCCCTTTTGCCTGACTCATTCCAAAATATAGAGATTTCTCTCAGGTCTGAGCCAGTGGAATAAACAAGACAGCTGTCTGACCAGAGTGACTTCCCTGTAGAAAGTCTGTAGGGCCCAAGGCACGAGTTAGCTAGAAGACTGAACCATTTTCTGTCGGCAAGAACCTAACATTTGAAACTGTTGATGATTACATCAAATTCAATCCCATGCTGAGAGTCCGTGTGTTCCCTGACATGCCACAGAATTTGATCTCTTGTCTTCTGAAGACAAGTTGAGGCCTGCAGTGATAATGTCCTGTCCAGGCCTGGTTCTGCCTGGACCTACAATCTGAGTGACTGCAAATCTTTCTACCTCCCTGGGTTGGCCTTTTGGTCCATAAAATAAAAGGACTTCTCTAGCGGTCCAGTAGTTAAGAATCTGCCTGCAAATGCAGGGGACACAGGTTTGATCCCTGGTCTGGGAAAGTTCACAAGCCACAGGAAAGCTAAGCCCAAGCGCCACAACTACTGAGCCTGTGCGCTAGAGCCCAGAAGCTACAACTCTGAAGCCCGCGCACCCTAGAGCCTGTGCTCCACAACAAGAGAAGCCCCCACAATGAGAAGCCAGCACACCACAACTAGAGAAAGCCTGAGCAGCAATGAAGACCCAGAGCAGTCCAACAAAAAAAAGTGCTGAAACCCTCAGGGATGCAGTAGAATGGGTTGTTAGTTGGGCTGGTTCTAGAAGTCAACATGGGTTGAAGATTTTAACCACATCGTGGCGAAGTTAATGACCTCAACTCGGCCTTCCAGGGTATTCACGTCTGGTAGTAAAAGTAATCAAAACAGTCCCAAGAGGCCCCACTTCCTGTTCCCTACCCTATGGGCAAATTCCAAAATTGGCCACAGGTGGAGAGTGGAATTCTGACTTTCACACTCACTAGCCCTATTTTTTCAGGGATAATCAGTTGGACCTGCCCCTTGGTGTCCTGCACCTGACCTACTGGTCCTGAGTGGGAAGGTGTGTGCCCAGGGACAAGTGCCTGATCAGCCCAGCTCAGGGCCTGGTCCCCAACCGGCCCTGTGTGCCAGTTGCCTCCTCCCCAGGGGTCACCCTGCCCATGGGAGTCTAGGCCTGTCTAAAGCGCCAGCTGGCCCCAGGAGTGGGCAGGTGAGCAGGGATGCTGACTCACCTGTGGACCTGCCCGTCCCCACCCATCTGCACACTCCCCGCCCCTCGTCTTCTCTTCCAGTGCAGATCAGCCTGCCGTCCACCATGTGCATGACCACCTCCGACGGCACACAGTACTTAGCCAAGCAGATGCACTTCCACTGGGGCGGAGCGTCCTCGGAGATCAGCGGCTCTGAGCACACCGTGGATGGGATGCGATACGTAATTGAGGTACCTTCAGGTTCCTCTTTCTTTCAAACCCCGTAGTCATGTTTGTGTTACTTTATTTTTAAAAAAATATTTATTGATTTTTTTGGCCGTCCTGGGTCTTTGCCTCTGCGAGGGCTTTTCTCTAGTCTGCCACCCCATGGACTGCAGCCCACCGGTCTCCTCTGTCCATGCGATTTCCCAGGCAAGAATACTGGAGTGGGTTGCCATTTCCTCCTCCAGGAGACCTTCCCAACCCAGGGATTGAACCCAGGTCTCCTGTGTTGGCAGGTGGATTCTTTACCACTGAGCCGCCTGGGAAGCCCTCTTTTAAAAAATATTTATTTATTTTATTTTTGGCTGTCCTGGGTCTTCATTGCTGCCAGGGCTTTTCTCTAGTTGCAGCGCTTGGGCTTCTCATTGCGCTGGCTTCTCTGTGGAGCACGACCAAAGGGGAATCAGACTTCCTTAGTGTGGTGTGTGGGCTCAGTATTTGCAGCTTCTGGGCTCTAGCGAATAGGCTCAGTAGTTGTGGTATAAAGACCTAATTTGCTCCTCAGTGTGTGAGATCTTTCCAGATCAGGGATCAAACCCAGGTTTTCTGCATTGGAGGCAGATTCTTTACTACTGAACCACCAGGGAAGGCCTGTGTAATTTATTTTTAATGTACTATCACTATTATTTTTTGGCAGCTCTTGCTGCTTCTAGACTTTCTCTAGTTGCAGTGAGCGGGGGCTACTCTCTAGTCATGCTGCGTGGGATTCTCACTGCGGCGGCTTCTCTTGTTGTGGAGCACGGGCTCTAGGGTGTGCAGGCTTCAGTATCTGCGCTGCACTGGCTGAGTTGCCCCTCAGCACGTGGGATCTTCCTGGACCAGGGATTGAACTGGTGTCCTCTGCATTGCAAGGCAGATTCTTAACCAGTGGACTACCAGGGAAGCCCTATTTTCTCACTGAAACAGCCAAAAACGCTTTGTACAGTGGTGAGTCAGGTCACCCTGAGGTTAAATTTATTTTTCATTCACTCACCACTCATCACTGCTCTGTGCTGGGGGTTCGGGCTGGGTCCCCGCTTTCACGAAGTCAGCCCAAAGCAGGAGTGCACAGCCCACAGAGTGGGGCAAGCCCTCTTTAGTTTCAGCTGGATTTCTGCCTGGTAGATCTGCTGGTTTCCTCTCTTGCTTAGGATGGGTGCGTGCCACGTCGCTTTCATCGTGTCTGACTCTTTGCAACCCCATGGACCGTAGCACGCCAAGTTCCTCTATCCATAGGATTCTCCAGGCAAGAATACCGGAGTGGGTCACCGAGCCCTCCTCCAGATCATCTTCCTGGCTCAGGGATTGAACTCATGTCTCTTAAGGCTCCTGCCTTGGCAACTGGATTCTTTACCACTAGCGCCAACTGGGAGGCTTCATAAAGAAAGCCTATTGGATTCTACTTCAAAAGAGAGAACTGATGAGACACACTACCTAAAAAGATATGACTAGTGAAGATTATTACTGCTTCGGATGACCACGGGTTTACAGTGGCCTTCTGAGGTAAGGGGGCACATGCCCACTCTAGGGAGACCTCAGGAGAACCCCATGGCCTCATATGATCTCCTGGACTCTGCCAGCTTGTCTGCCTGGGGGCAGGTGAATTGCCATCGCCCCATGAGAAACGCAGGTTTGATCACTGGGTCAAGAAGATCCCCTGGAGGAGGGCATGGTAACCCATTCCAGTATCCTTGCCTGGAGAATCCCACGGACAGAGGAGCCTGGTGGGCTACAGTCTGTGGTGTCACAAAGAGTCAGACATGAAAAAAAAAGAGTCAGACATGACTGAAGCAACTTAGCACACAGCACACATAACCCTACTCATGTTCTTTGCATTCTTGGAGAATTTTTTTTTTAGGGTCAAAATTTTAATTTAAACTTGATTCACATATTTTATACATTACTCTTTTTTATTGATGTATATATATTATTGAAGTATAGCTGATTTACAATGTTTCAGGTGTGCAGCAAAAGTATTCAGTTATACATATATACATATATTATTTTTCATATTATTTCCCATTATAGGTTATTATAAGATATTGACTGTAGTTCCCTGTGCTATATAGTAAAACCTTTGTTGCTTGTTGTGTATCTGCTTTTTTAAAATTAGAAATCTAGCACTTATTCTTACTAAGCAAGCAAGTGGTATACATTATTTTTTTGTATTGAGTACAGGCTATGCAAATTAAGCTATTTCAATAAATAATAGAAATGTTCATTACTTTGCAAATATAAAGCAAAATCAGCTAATACAAGCAATACAAGCCTGCATTAATCAGAGCTTCTCCCCATGAACATTTCTCAGCTCTCTCCTCATGTCTTTCTCAGAACTTTCTGGTCTTAGATCTTGTAGCCCAGATGGAGGGAGATGGTGGTCAGCAGTGTTTGTCGGTCAAGCAGAGGTGCCAGATGAAGCATCTTTTTTTCATTTTCCTCCTTCCCGAAAACCTGAAGCGTTTGAAGGTTATAGGAATTGCCCTTGACTTGCCCTGATAGCTCAGCCTGTAAAAAATCTCCTGCAATGCAGGAGACCCTGGTTTGATTCCTGGGTTGGGAAGATCCCCTGGAGAAGGGAAAGGCTACCCACTCCAGTATTCTGAGAATTCCATGGACTATGTAGTCTATGGGGTCGCAAAGAGTCATAAACAACTGAGCGACTTTCACTCCCTTTCTTGCTTCCACAGATTCACGTCGTCCACTACAATTCTAAATATGACAGCTATGAAGAAGCCCAGAAAGAGCCGGATGGTTTGGCTGTGCTGGCGGCCCTGGTTGAGGTAGGCTGAACCTACACACTCAAAGTTATAAACTGGTGTCAAAACAAGATGTTAAATGTAGACAAAGGGTTTTCCTACTTGTCTCTCCTCATGTGTTCCCGAGCTCACGGTTCTTGGAAACACTGACTTGATAAAAGGTGTACTCTTTTAAAGAAAAACATTTGGTTACTTATCTGGTCTTAGTTGTGGCACGAAGAATCTTTGTCCCTTGTTGCAGCATGTAGCATCTATGAGACATGTGGGATCTAGTTCCCTCATCAGGGATCGAGCCTGGGCCCGCTGCATTGGGAGTGTGGAGTCTTAACCACCAGACCATCGGGGAAGTCCCTGAAAGACCTACTCTTTCCCCAGTCCTTGCTTGCAGTTACTGTGGTGACTCTGGGTCACCAACCTCATGGATGATCTGGACAAGCTGAGTTAGAAGAGCTGATCCCAGAGGGGCTGACTTGACAGAAACTGGTCTGAGGACACGAGGAAACCTGCGGCCCAGTAGACAGAGGCCACATCTCTGCATGAAAGTCTGGAGGGTGGGGCTTATGTCTAGGCGGCAAGAAATGGTCAGTGAATACGATCCCCTCCCAAAACAAGTATTATATTAGCTTCCCTGGTGGTTCAGCTGGTAAAGAAACCATCTGCCAATGCAGGAGACACAAGAGACACGGGTTCAATCCCTGGGTCAGGAAGATTGCCTGGAAATGAAGGAAATGACAACCATCTCTAGTATACTTGCCTGGAAAATTCCATTCCTGGAAAATTCCAGATAAGCCTGGCAGGCTACAGTCCATGCAATCACAAAGAGCTGGACACGACTGAACACACACACATCAAAAACAAGCATATCAGTGCTCTGGAAATGGACCAAAGACAAATAACAAGGTAAAGCACTTATTTATGACGAATGGTGAGAATTTTGAGTAAAAACAATGGGAGTTTGTGGGCTTCTTGCCTGGCACTCTTTCCATCTGATAACTTGGTCAGCAAGTAATCCTAGAGGAAATCAAACCTAAATATTCATTGGAAGGACTGATGCTGAAGCTGAAGCTCTAACACTTTGGCCACTTGATAGGAAGAACGGATTCACTGTAAAAGACCCTGATGTTGGGCCAGATTGAAGACAGGAGGAGAAGGGGACAACAGAGGATAGGATGGTTGGATGGCATCACTGACTCAATGGACATGAGTATAAGCAGACTCCGGGAGACGGTGAAGGACATGGGAGCCCGGTGTGCTGCAATCCCTGGGGTCGCAAAGAGTCGGACACAACTTAGCAACTGAACAACAACAACTTGGTCAGCAAGGTAGTTTCATCAGGGCAGGTGAACTGGAAAACCAGCAGCTTCACTGCCTGGTACAGGGATTCATGAGATTTGAAGTAGAAACTGAAAACCCGTGCCTGAGGGGCATTGCTGATAAAAGTAGCAAACAACAGAAAAGACAGAAAAGGAAAACTCGCAGCTCTGGGAGTCTCACGTCCTGAGGTGAGCGACAAGGGGCAGACCAATCAGAAATCTAACTGGGAGATGCTGAAAATGAGAGACCCACAGAGCGCTCGTGTCGGCTTCCCCGGGCCTGATGGAAAGTGAAAGCTGAGTCTGACTTGGTAACTGGCCGACCTTTGAATGTGCTCCTCAACCCACACACAGATCCATCAGCTTGAGCTCCTGGGGTCTGAGCACAACCTCTGCTAAAATCACTGAGTGACTGTAAACTTGTGCTGACCATAGATGGTCCTAGGCTAAAAAAATAAAAATAAGACTTAAGACCTGAGCAGACTCATCAGCTGCTCCACACTACTATGGACACATATTCTGCAGATAAAGCCCAGACAAGTCACTGAATAGTTATGGGAACAACAACAAAAACCCCACAGGACAGTTTTTAAAAATCAGAATTTAGATTTGCTACCATATACTATGTAAAACATCTAGTAATCAAGGAAAAAGTTCAGCATGCAAATAGGAAAATGTGATCTGTATTTAGGAGAAAATGCTCAGTTGTGTCCAACTCTTTGTGACCCCATGGACTGTAGCCCGCCAGGCTCCTCTGTCCCTGGAATTTTCTAGGCAAGAATATTAGAATGGGTTGCCATGCCCTCCTCCAGGGGATCTTCCTGACCTGGGGATCGAACCCAAGTTTCTTGCGTCTCCTGCATTGGCAGGTGGGTTGTTTACCACTGCACCACCTGGGATGCTCTCTAGCACAAACCGATGTAAGTTGCACATTGAAGTCACTAGAGCAACCATTAATTAATAACTTAAAATTGTTAAATGGTACACTGAAAGTATTTGCTCACATAAGGTAGCTAGAAAAACAGAGAAAGAGATGACACATTTAGAAAACAGATAAACAACAGTCAGAAATCCAAGGAAGGGGATTGGGAGGAAAGAGGGGGGCGATGTATGGGAGAGAATAGCATGGAACCTTACATTACCATAAGTAAAATAGATAGCCAATGGGAATTTGCTGTGACTCAGGGAACTCAAACCCGGGATCTGTAACAATCTAGAAGGGTGGGATGGGGAGGAAGGTGGGAAGGAGGGTCAAGAGGGAGGGGACATATGTATACCTACGGATGACTCATGTTGATGTTTGGCAGAAGCCAACACAATTCTGTAAAGCAATTATCCTTCAATTAAAAATAAATTTAAGATTAGAAAAAGAAGAAATCCAAGAAAGTCTGAATTTTCACCCAGTGGAAGAATGGATCAGCATCACTGATTGAAAAGAACCATTGTCCATAGATCTTTTTCACCAAGAGCAACTTTTCTGACTTCTAACAAGTAAACACTCATTCAAAAAATAGAGGATGTTGCAGGTCAGCACTGGAGCAGTTTTGCCTTGGACATCTGGCTCTAGTCCATCCAGTCAAAAGTCCTGAGGATGAAGAAGGGAGCACTTAAGACCAAGCCCCCTCATCATAATCTGGGGGCCTTCCTGGTGCTCCAGCAATTAAGACCCTACGCTTCCCCTATGGGTGGCATGGGCTTGATCCCTGGTCAAGGAACTAAGATTCTGCATGCTGTGTGGCAGTGGCTAAAAGCAAAACCAAAAAACCCACAGTGAATCTGACTGTGGCTGACATTGCCCCAAACAAGGTCACTGGGGATATTTTAACAGTGACTTTGGCCATTCCATGAGGATATCACCAGATACTGCCAAGAAGGTCTTTTCTTGGGAAGCTGCCAAAATGCTTCAGATCTTGTCTTTCTGGAAGAAACTGGTGAGCCAAGGCAGTTGGTGCAAAGAACAGCCAGACTGTCTCCCCAGATGCCTCCTTGCCCTCATAGCTCTGCCCAGCCAGCAGGATACCGAACAGCTGAGTTAAGGAAGAGAGGACCAGACGGAGGCCCACCTCCCTCAGGTTAACGGCTCCGTTCCCCCGCAGGTAAAAGATTATGCTGAAAATGCTTACTACAGCAACTTCATTTCTCACCTGGAGGACATTAGGTATGCAGGTAAGAGAAACCACCAGAAGGTGCACCGGGGCGGAGGCCTGAGCCTGAGTGTGATGGGGCCGGGGGGCCGGGAAAGTAATGGGTGGGGAGGGTGGCAGAGAAGCCTTCCAGGGGACACTTGGCTCCCCGCAAGGTCTCTGGCTCCAGCAGTTCCCGTGGTTGGCTCAGGCTGTGCACACCTCCGAGAGACCCATTCATAAACTACCTATCGATTTCCACGACTGGAATGTCTGGATGGCCAGAATTCCATGAATGAGGGATATTTTCCATTAAGTCACCCTCACCTCTGGCCCCAGCTGGTAGTGATGATCCTGGTCCTTAGACAGAGATGAGCTCCTTGGTTTCTAGTTGAGAAGAGTCTCAAGAGTGAAGCCTCTTGTCATGGTGTCTGTGAATGCAGTCACGGCGCTGGTCTCCCTTCTCTCTGCCTCCAGAAGGCAGGGTTCTTGTCAGAACATTTGCCCGCTCCCACGACTGAAGCGACTTAGCAGCAGCAGCAGCAACATGGTCAACTCTTGACCTTAAGCTGTAACCACGTCTGCTGCAGCCTTGGTTCTGGGCATCTCACTTTGCCCCATATTCTGGACTCCAGTTCCCTGACCTCAGTCCTCACTCTCTCCAGGAATCTCCTGACTTCCAATTCATGGGCCTCCATGTTTTCACTACTAGTCACGCTTCTTGCCTCTCAATTCTCTTTACCTGGCTTGGATGCCACGGACCATCATTCTGACACACCCATGCAAATGCTTTCCATCCCTCCACAAACTCACCTGATAAAGCCCTAGGCCAACTTCTACCTTCTCAGAGCCTGTAGCCAAACAGCCTATAGAGAATGTGCCTGAGAGAAACACAGATATTTCTAATTGGTATTACTTTCGTTCCTAGCTAAAATATTAACAAGTACTAACACTGCTCAGAAATCCTAAAATACTCCTCTGGGCATTTTCTTTTCCCCTCTCCACAATGATTGCATCACCTTTTCTCCTCTCTCCAGAAGCACCCCCTCCCTGGCCCCAGCTTCTCCCCTGAAGGGGATGCCTGACCTCCCACTTCATGGAGAAGGTACCCAGACACTCACTCATCTTCTTAACATGGCAGTCCAGCGGTTAAGACTCCCAATTTCCACTGCAGGGAGCATGGGTTCAATCCCTGTTCGGGGAACTAAGATCCTGCATACCATGCAGTGCAACCAGAAAAAAAAAAAACTTAGAAATTTTTTGCCTGCTCATTGGGCTATGCACTACTAGACTTCACAGCCTTGGTTAAACAAGCCTGTTTATGTATATATGACAATGATATCCTCTTTGCCATTAAAAAAAAAAATTCAGAAGTGCTCAGGGAAAGAAGCAGAATTCCTGCCTTGTGCATCATCTTGAGTTGCAGCATGTGGGATCTAGTTCCCTGACCAGGGATCGAACCCGGACCCCCTGCAATAAGAGCATGGAGTCTTAGCCACTGGACCACCAGGGAACTCCCATGAGTGTCCCCTTTCTATAGACAGGTGAGTATCCAGCCAGGGCCACCCAGCCAGAGGAGGTATTTGAGAGGGTTTCTCCCCAAAGTCTTTGCTCTTAACCCTTTCCAGGAAGCAGCACACTGGGCGATGTTTCTCAATGATCAGGTTCTAAGTTCTTCTGCTTAAATCAGGAGATTTAAAGATGGTGAGATCTGAGCCAGAGCTGCCCTCCCAAGGGGCAGCAGTGGTCCCCAGCATTCCTTCTCATCCCCTCTATTAGGACAAAGCACGGTTCTGAGGGGCCTTGACATCCAGGACATGCTACCTGGGGACCTCCGCTACTACTACAGCTACTTGGGATCACTCACCACTCCTCCCTGCACAGAGAATGTCCACTGGTTTGTGTTAGCAGATACTGTCAAGCTCTCTAGGACACAGGTAATGTACAAGATTGCTTTAATATCCAAGTCTCTCCTTTCCAAGACCTGATCAATAAGAGCGTTTCCCTAAATCTTACCTAATGCCAATACCTGGGCTCCTATAGTGTCTTCTATGTCCAGGGCTGTAATGCCTCACCTGTATCACCATGGGTGATCTTACTAGTGCTGTGCTATGGCAGAAATGGGCCAACAGGCATCAGAGAATCCAAGAAATCTATAGGCAGTGCAACAACAACAAAAAAAAAACTGGAAACTGATCCAAGTCATAGGAGAAAATTTGCATAGTGAAGGCAAATATTTATTGAGTGCTGCTCTCACCAGGTATTACATGTGCAAACTCCATGTCCTTATGGGGCAACATTCTAACCTCATAAATGACTTTATGCAAGAAGGACACCTTCAGATTTAGCCGTTTACCATCTAAAAATGTCTGTAGCCCTTTGAGGGGAAGAGCTGTATCAATTGTCTTTTGTCCTTGAGCCTAGCACGGGAAGTATTTGTTGAGTTAAATAAAAGAAAAATGTTACTGAGTTTGCAAAGCAAACCTTCTGGGTTCCTCAGAAGCGAATGTTTCTCTTTTTAAAATTTCCATTTCCCTATTTCAGGAAGAAGTGCAAAGACCCCTCATTCTTACACCCAGATATAAAAACAATGCCAACTAGGTTGAAAGTGCCCTGAGATACCTAACAAAAATCAATGTTAGTTATCTATGAATAATGCACCTTAAATTCAGATCTAGAAGAGTTTCTACAAATAAAATTATCTGAGATGAACTCAAATGAAAAAAAAATCACAAAATACCAATAAAAAGGCACTATGAGTGAGTGTCAGCAGAATCAGACCTACAAAGATTTCAGATACTGTTTAATTATCAGCCAATTAATATAAAGTCTGTTTAATATGTATAAAGAATGCATAATATGTATAATTAAACATATTTGATATGTTTAATATGTAGAAGAGTTTGAAATATAAGGAAAGAAAGAAGTGTAAAAATGACCAAGTAAACTTGAAAAAAAGTAAATTGTTAATTTCTAGAAATGAAAGATAGTAACTGAAATTTATAATGCAACAAATGCGTTTAATAGCATGTAGGACAAGTTCAAGAAAGAATTAGTAAGCTGAAAGACAGAGCTGAGACAATTATGCGAAATGCAGCACAGAGAGAAAAAGAGGTAGAAATATGAAAAAGTAGAGAGATATAGAGAAGATACCAGAAAGACCTGAAAAATGTCAAGTTAAAATTATAGTGGGAGAAGAGAGGTGGCATAGAGAAGAGGAATAATTTGAGAAATGTTGACTGACAATTTTCCAGGGGGTTGAAAGTCACCATATTATATATTAAGGAAGCCCAATGAGTCAATGAAAACAAAAAGAAGCCCGCACTAAACACATCACAGTGAAGCCACAAGCTATCAAAGCAAAGAGGAGATTTAAATATCAGCCAAAGAGAAAAGATATATTTTCATGAAAGAAATATGATCAGACTGAGAGTTAATTCAGCGCAGCAACAACGAAATTCAAAAGCAGTGCAAGCACTTTTTCAAAGCCCTGAGAGAAATGAGTAGCTTACCTCGAGTCACACGGCAGCAAAAATGCCTCTCAAGAACATAGACAAGGACTTCCCTGGCGGTCCAGTGGTTAAGAATCTGCCGGCCAGTGCAGGGACACAGGTTCAATCCCTGGATTTGGAGGATCCCACATGCCTCAGAGCAACTCAGCCTGTGCGCCAAACTACTGAGCCTGTGAACCTAGAGACGCGGCTCCACAAGAGAAGCCACTGTGCTGAGAAGCCCTCACCCCACAACCAAGTGTAACCCCCACTGGCCACAGCTAGAGAAAGCCTGAGTGCAGCAGTTAAGACCCAGCACAGCCAAAAATAATGAAATAAATAGAATTTACTCAAAAAAAAAAAAAAATAGACAAAAACACAGGAATGTGCAGAAAAACAGAAATTGAGCTTGCTACTTGGTATGTGTCTGTTTACTTCTTTCTCTCTTCTCTGTCGGCTAAATACCCATAGAAAAAGACTGAAAGATATTGTCAGAAGAATGATTGGGTGGATGAATGCCAAGGCACATAGTGTTCAGAACCACTTCTGGACTTGAGATCTCCTTTATCAGAGTTATATAAATCCAAGCACTGGTCCAACTGTTAACTAAATTAAAAAAAAAGTCACCCAGTGCCTCTCCTCTCATTAATTCCTTTCATGTTGCTGGCAGATTGAGAAGCTAGAGAATTCCTTGTTGAACCACCAGAACAAGACCATCCAGAATGATTACCGCACGACTCAGCCCCTGAACCACAGAGTGGTGGAGGCCAACTTCGTGTCTCACCCTCATCAGGGTGAGTGGGATCAACTCTGGTTTGTTCTTTGCCGCATGCAATGATAATTTCCTGTTTCCCTCCTTTTCTGGGTAAGCCCATCTCTTCTGGCCACAGTAAGGGAAGGGGAGTCATCCGAATGGCAGGGGGCTCAGGTGGACCAATCAGAATGGGGCTTGGGCAAAGAGGATGACTCATTTTCCCAGTCCAGGTAGTGGTACTACTGAGTAGGACAGAGCGGGTGATGAGAATGAGCCAGCTCCATAATATTACCTGGTATTGGCCAGAGACAGTGGGAGGAGCAAGATGTCAGTAACACAGGATGCTCCCATAGAGTGTCGGCTCATGTTCACCTCATCATATCCAACTCAGGTGTTTCCCCCACACTTCTGTCTTGGTCTGCATTACAAACCCATCCTCAACTCCTCCCATAAATTCCCTCAAGGTGGGGCTAACTAGACCACATACTGCTTGTTACCTTTTCTCGTGGATCAAACAGGGTGGATTAGCCACCAAATGGCCTTTGAGTCTCCTAGGTGGCTCAGAGGTAAAGAAACCGCCTCCAACACAGGAGACGCGCAAGATGCAGGTCAGATCCCTGAGTCAGGAAGATCCCCTGGAGCAGGAAGTGGCAACCCACTCCAGCATCTTTGTTTGGGAAATCCCATGGTCAGAGGAGCCTGGTGGACTCTAGTCCCTAAGGTCACAAAGAGACGGACGCGTCTTTATGCACACAGGTGAAGCCACAGACGCCAGGACCCTGGAAGAAGGTATAAGTGGTCCAGTTTCCCCTGGACCTTCCAGTCCAGGAGGTGGGGCTTCAACTGTGTCAGTTTGACTTACCTCATTTCTGTGGTTACAGGAATGTAAATATTCTGCAATTTCCCATCTTTATTTTGTCCAATTCTCTGTAAAGTGGTGGTGAACTACACACATTCCCTGAATTCATTGTCTTTACAGTATATTCCTATTAACCATTCCTGAGAACTTTATTGGAGTAGGAAATGGCAATCTACTCAGTATTCTTGCTTGGAAAATTCCATGGATGACTTTATATTCTCTAATAAATAGACCTGGTCTCCAGTCAATATTACCCTATCTCTACATGTACCTTGCAAAAGTTAAAAATTTCCATACATACTCCCCAGCACAATAAAGCTCCATTTATAGTTTTCTCCCCATCTCTCCTGGTTCATTTCTTGTTTTCCCTTGTATCAGTCTGCTCCCTTCATACAATACTAACAGGAAAGATGACACCAACTATAATTTTAATTTCCCCATATTATACTTTATACGATATTGTTGTTCAGTCACTAAGTCATGTCCAACTCTTTGCGACCCCATGGATTGCAGCATGCCAGGCTTCCCTATCCTTCACCACCTCCCAGAGCTTGCTCAGACTTGTGTCCATTGAGTTAGTGATGCCATCCAACCATCTCATCTCTGTCTCCACCTTCTCTTTCTGCCCTCAATCCTTCCCAGCATCAGGGTCTTTTCCAGTGAGTCAGCTCTTTTCATCAGGTGGCCAAACTATTGGATGTTAGCAGTCACAATTTCTTTTTCTAAAGGATGACACCCTCCTAAACAGGTCCAATCACTAGCAGACTCAACAAAGGGAGCTTAGACCCATTGATCTGTCTCCTTGTTCTAATTTTGCTATGGTCCCTGTTTAACATTTTATGCTATTCTTGCAACAAACACAGATTGTATCATTCTCCTTATGCCACTTCTCAAATGCTCTTTCCATTGCAGCAGGGCAGGAGTGTCATTTCAATGTACTCTCATGAGCAACCTCAGAGGTTCTAATAACCACTTCTTAGTCCAGAATGTTCCATCTGGCGGTATGTCATTTTTGCCGTCACTTCTGAGACTTGCTATTTAGGAGGAGTACACCAACTTCCAGGCTTCCCTGGTGACTCAGTAGTAAAGAATCCTCCTGCCAATGCAGGACACTTGGGTTCCATCTCTGGTTTGGGTTTCCTTCCTGGAGAAGGAAACGGCACCCTGATCCAATATTCTTGCCCAGAAAATCCCAAGGACAGAGGAGCCTGGCAGGTTACAGTCCATGGGGTCACAAAGAGTCAGACATGACTTAGCAACTGATGACAATGATAACAATAGCAACAGCATACCAGCTCCCAGGAGATAGGAAGAGGGCTTCCTCCCAAACCCAGCCAAGGGATCTGAACAATGCCCTTCCTTTACTGAGAAGAAAACAGAGAACTGGGCATCATCTCACTCCAACTTTATGCAGACCCAGACTTCTATGTAGCAACCCAACTGCACAATCTACATGATATTTCATAGTTCTATAGAATCCATACCAGATGGGTTAATATGATCAACTCATCAAAGATGAATGACCCAAGAAACAAAGATCAGTTGTAAACACAGGAGAATAGCAAAATCGGCCCTCTTGCAACTTATTTATTAGAAAACACCTGTGTATTCTAAGGTAAAGGCTACTGAGCTTCACATGAGAAACCAAGGGTCAAGGGTTGAACCATCTTTGACATGTCACCCCTTGGATTCTGGCAGCTTACAAGCCTAAATTCAGACATAGCAAGGATGCCTGAAGCCAATGGGATGGGAACATGGCGGGCGTATGAAGGAATCGAAAATATTTTTCCTAAGTATGCATGTAGGGAATGGTGTCTGGCGGTCCTGGGTCCCCCATTTTCATGAATCTCTTCAAAGTTCTGACTTTTTCCTGTTAACTCTTCTTTTTATAGAATACACTTTAGGCTCCAAACTCCACTTTTATCTAAACAACATTGACAAAAACCTTGAGTACCTGAGAAGATTTATTGAACAGCAGATAACAAAGAGAAAAAGACAAGGATATTGGCATTGAAGAGTGAGCCCTGCCTTCTGTCCAAGAAGCCCTGGGTGTCCAGATCATACCATGTCTACCAAGGCAGCTGCTTAATTTACGATTAAAACAGGAGAAACCATCATCCGTGAACGGAAGTGAGATGGCTTAAATGCATGAGAAGGGTTTGAGCGAGATGATACCAATGGGAATTGACTGGAATAGAAATTTAACTACCCGCCTCTCGAATCGCATACATTAATTTGTCTTAATTAGAAACTAGACTGAAATCCTGATAGCATTTAGATGAAATAAAATAACTTTGGAAATTTGTTATTTAAAAACTTCTCTTTTCTATTCCTTTGTGCCATTTCAAATATTGTTTCTTTGCTCTATCCGGAGGGACCCAGGTGATGGGGTAGAAATGAAGGTGGGAGGGATTTCCAGCTTTTTTCAAAAGTTCCCACTGACATTATTGAAAGGTTAAAAATGAAAGTTTCCAATCAACAACTGATATTTTTATAACTTTTATGAAAACTGTAAGTACTATTATTTGTTTGTATTATTATTGTTAATTTATGCTTCCAACTTTTCACTATTACAACAATGCAGGGTAGGAATTTGGCTGAGTTTAGCTTAAAAACTGACTTCCCTAGTGTCTCAGACCAGGGAAGAATTCACCTGCTACACAGGAGACCCAGGTTCAATCCCTGTGTTGGGAAGATCCCCTGGAGAAGGGCATGGCAACCCACTCCAGTGTTCTTGAAACAAAACAAAAAAAAAAAAACCAACACAACAACAACAAAAGCCAAAAACACTCAAGGGAAACAAGTAAAATGGTTTCAGGTGATATTAATTTGGGGCTGATGTTATTTCTCTAGATCGTCATTGTGAACATTTTAAAAACTATCTGCATTGGCAGGCAGACTCTTTACCACTACACCACCTGGGAAGCCTTTTAAAACTAAATTGCTGTCAACTTTGTGATCCAAAAGTTTTGTCCTGGGAGGGAGATGCGGAGGACAGAGGGCACATTGCATCCTAGTGACAGCAGAAAGTGTGGTTCTTTAAAAAGCCACAGAAACAGCCTCCTGCTGTCAGTGAGAAGAAAGCCACCCGGCCAACCGCCCCCTTCAGGGCCAAGCCTGGGTCCCCCCGCCCCAGGAGCAGCTGGGAGGACCCCCTTTGCAGGCTCTGCGATTTCAGAATTCCAAAATTGGCTTCCATGAGTTCGTGGTTCTCAAGAGAAGTTTTGAAAAACAAGATATCCCTTAGAAACAGCCCCTTAGTTGTCCCACGGTGCTCTCAGTAGACGTTCCTCTCAAGAGTGCCAGCATTTCCCCAAAGGCCTTCTGTGCCGGTGCCATTTTGTGAAGGGCTGACTAAAGCAAAGGTTTTTGTGAAGGACGGATTAGAGAGAGGGCTGAGTGGACCGGCTGTGTTTGAAGGGAAGCTGCTGCCCTCCAGTGGCCACTGTGAGAATGGCGGGGCCTGTGCCCAGGGGACCTTGGCAAGGCCCTCCACCCCTCCTCTCTTTCCTGTTGGTAACCTGGGGCCCAAGGACCTCTAAGAGTTCTTCTGTAAGTTACAGGCGTATCAGGGACGAGCATTACAGTGCAAGTCCCTGGACTTCATCCTTTTTCACACAATGAAAGACGTGGAGTTGCACTCCCTGGGTTCTGGTCCCTCTTACTTCCATGTCCTGCTTTTAGAATTTCAAAGCATCATCACCCTTGGATGATAGATACCCAGCCCTTCCCAACTACCCTCTTGTCACCTGGGGGGCCACCTCCCCCACCCCTGCTGAATGGACAGGCTGGCAACTCAGATGCCCCCTCTCAGGCCTGAGCTGGCGACTTGAGCCCCGCTGACATGAGGCCCAGCTGACATCCAACCGAGGCCATGCAGAGGGGCCCAGGACAGCACCCGGCAACCCCGAACCTCACACAGGGGAAGCAGATACCACGCCCTCCCAGGGACAGCTGCTGTCCAGAGAGAAGCTGCTGGAGAGAAGCACAGAAGGACCTCCTATCTCAGAGAGGGGGTTCAGTGTGGCTGAGAGTGGTGGGTGGTGAACGCTGGACTGGGCTGTACTTCCTGCCATTAGAAGTCCCTTGACCACAGGCCTCGACTGAACAGGTTGATTGCATTTTTGCTCTCCACAAACACACGATCCCCAACTAAAACACAACATGTCTCTTATTTTGTTGGAGCTTCAGAAGCAAACAGCTGGAGGACCTGATTTGATTATCTCCAGTTGAGTTAACTGGGACCAGCTAGTGTGCTCCGACACAGCATCTTAGTGGGGAAGCAGGAACTCAACAGATGTGAAAGCTGTATCACAAAGAAGGCTAAGTGCCAAAGAATTGATGCTTTCAAATTGTGGTGCTGGAGAAGACTCTTGGAAGTCCCTTGAACCGCAAGGAGATCAAACCAGTCAATCCTAAAGGAAATCAACCCTGAATATTCATTGGAAGGACTGATCCTGAAGCCTCTATATTTTGGCCACCTGGTGCAAAGAGTTGACTCATTGGAAAAGACCCTGGTGCTGGGAAAGACTGAAGGCAAAAGGAGAAGGGATTGGCAGAGGATGAAAAGAATGGTAGATAGCAGCACGGACTCAACATGAATTTGAGCAAACTCTGGGAGAGTTGGACAGGACTTAGCAACTGAAAAACATCAAGGAACACACCTCCAAGTACTGTGCAATTACCACTTTCTTGTTGACCCCTTGGAACACTGTAATTGGCCTAGGGAACAAGTCAGGAAGAGGCAGGGGGTTATTTTCAGGAGTTCAATTCAGTGGCCTCAGCTCCACTAAGGAAGATCCCTGGGGTGAGTTTTAGGGTGTCAGTACCCAGAATCTTCCAGATGCATGGTAAATGCCCCATTGGCCCCTGCTCCAGAGCTCCCCACCCCACCCCTGACAGCATAACAGGCTGCTAGGGGGTGGAAGCTGAGAGAGGCCCCCGACAGCTCCATGGTGGGTGCTCACACACTGGCCCCTCTATGGGGGGATATGGGAAAGCCTGCTGATGTACATCTTGCTTAGAGGCAGATGGTGCGCAAACAGAGCCATCACTAGGCTCCCGGTCAAAAATACCACCACATGGGACCACTAGCCTTTGCCAAGAATGAAAGGATCCAAGGAGGGTGTTAGATGTACTTCTCGCTCTGTCACCCCCTCTCCACCTGGTGAGCTCCATGTCATGCTTCAGGGTGCAGTATTCTTGCCTACAAGATTGCCCACCCATATGATGCTGGGACCCTGATGCTGGGAGAGGTTGAGGACAAGAGGAGAAAGGGGTGACAGAGGATGAGATGGCTGGATGGCATCACTGACTCAATGGACATGAGTCTGAGCAAACTCGGGGAGACAGTGAAGGACAGGGAAGCCTGGTGTGCTGCAGTTCATGGAGTTGCATAGAGTTGGACATGACGGAGCTTTTGAACAACAACAATGATACACATTTAAGAGCAGAGACTAGAGATGAGAAGGTTAAGGCGGCTTGCTTCAGGTGCTTCAGGTACCAAATGGGAGAGCAAGATCTAGAACCAGGTCTCCTGTTTCTTAGGCTAGTTATCTTTCTACTAATTTCTTATTTGAGGAGAACCATAGGGCTCCTGTCAGAAGTTGATATCATCAGTGATTTAAAATCCTTCTCTTTGAAAATGAAAACACTATGAGGAGAATTCATAGATTAGGCTGTTACCAGTTATTTCAATCTTAGTATGAATTAAATGCACAGTTCAAACCTGGTTTATTTTCAGGATGAAGGACTGTGATACCTTTCCTTTAGGTTTAGAATGGTGCTTTTGATGAGGAAGAGATAGGAGTAATCTGGGTTATCACAGGTTGCTCCAGGGGGGCTAGGATTGATGGGTGGGGGCCTGAGGTTGTTGACTTGAGGGTTCATGGATATGGTGATGAAAGAAGGTCTAGAAGGTGAGAAAGTGCTGGAAACTGTTTCCTTTGTGGTCTATCAGCTGAGCCAAGGGTTCAGAGAACTTCAGAACTGAGCTGGAGGGACCTCATTATGCAGCTAGTGAGCTCTGAGGCCACCATACTGAGCCTCATCTCCTCCCTGGGCCCTGGATCTGACTCCAGGAGCTTCTGGGACCACAGGAGAAGGTTTGCTAGGGCTGTTCGTGGAGGGGGCGGTGCGGCGCACGCAGGGGAAGCACAAAGTGAAATGGGTGTGAAGACACAGTTGAGGTCAGAAAGCTCAGAGATCAGGTTTTCTGTGGGCCGAGGCAGGGCTGTCTGTGACTGAGGGGGCCTGGCCTGGGGCCTCTGCGTGCCCTGAGTGCATGGATCAACCTGTGGGTCCCACCCTCTGTCATAGGGGGGAGGAACCACACCTGAGAGTGGTTTTGAGCAGCTACCTGGGCCTCAGGGGCTCTGTGGGCATTGTTAGTAACAGTTTGTTAAGTTGTTAGTAAAATTAAGAGAGGATGTAAGGCTTCAAACTGTGGATGTGAAAGTGAAGCACGGCAGGGACTTTCTTGGCGGTCTACTGGTTGACTCTGAGCTTCCACTGCGAGGTGTGAAGTTTCCATCCTTGGTCAGGGAACTAAGATCCCACATGCCCTGTGGTGTGGCCAAAAAAAGGAGGAGCGGATATTTGTATACATATTGTTCTTGTTCTGATGCTCAGTCACATCTGACTCTGTGATCCCATGCACTGTAGCATGGCAGGCTTTCCTGTCCTTCACTGTCTCTCAGAGTTGGACCATTCATGTCTATTGGGTCAGTGATACATCCAACCATTTCATCCTCTATTGGCTCCTTTTTCTCCTGCCTTCAATCTTTCCCAGCATCAGGGTTTTTTTCCCAACGAGTCAGCTCTTCGCATCAGTTGGCCAAAGTGTTGGAGCTTCAACTGCAGCATCAGTCCTTCCAATGAATATTCAGGGTTGATTTCCTTTAGGATTGACTGGTTTGATCTCCTTGCTGTTCAAGGGACTCATAGAGCTGATTCAATTTTTTGTACAGTAGAAACTAACATAACATTGTAAAGCAATTCTATTCGAATAAAAAATAAAATAGTAAAAAAAAAAAGGAATTAAGAAATGAAGCAAAGTTACTCAGCATAGCGAGAGATTGGAAATTGAAAAAAAAAATAGCAAGAACATATAAGAAGCAAACCATAAAATAAGATGTCAAAGATTGCAACAAGTATAAATGGATTAAACTCTGATATTTGAGGGCCAACTCTCAGATTAAATCAAAGAACAAAAAATCCAGAGCACATCTAAAATATAAGAAGTTAAAAATATAGGGGTGAGTAGATACATACTAATCAAATGCAAACAAAAAGCAAGTCTTGATGGCAAT